TAAGCCAGGGGATGAGCATCATGCCTGGTCTGAGAACAATACAATGCATCTGAAAGTGCTCAAACCTAGCAGTAGATCAAGGGAGTAAGAAATTAATAAATGAGAACGTCTAATGACTCATTTAATGTCTTTTTATGATGATGAAGTAAAGGAGTAGGAATTAAATTAAAAAGGTAAGTTATTGGTCTGGCCAATTTTTAAAAAAAGAATGAAAAGAAAAGTAGCAACACTTTACTACGTATGTTTAAGGGTGGAGTGTCTCCTATCAGAATTTCAAGAGTTACTATCTGGGATGATCCATTTCTCTTGTTAAAGACTAGAGGAAGTGAAATCACCTTCATGATCTGGAAGAATATTTTGGAGGATAAATTTAGGGAGGTAGTTGAGGAGTTTCTGAGACATTTGAGGGGACCCAGAGAGCCTTCCTGTGAAACAATGGAAAGTCACATGCCATTGCTGCTGGTGGGGAATTATTCTAGATACACCCATGGCAAGATCTGGTGTGGTGCATCTGTTCCAGAGCAAGTGATAAGATGTGTTGCAAAGGGTGTTGACATCCATGTTGAGTAGTCATGGGGGAAGCTTACTGGCTTGGGCATGCTTTTTTTATCCAACTCGTAGTATGATGAGGAAGATGATGAGAAAAAGAAGACTGTTTTCCTTGCTGGTTAAAGATCAGAAATTAGAGGCAAGTAAAATTTTGCAGATTGAAAAAGGGTCTGATTTACTGATGCTGAAGAAGGAAGACAGCAGAACGAGGAGAATCACTCGGCATTTTAAAATCAACTGAAGTGTATGTTTTCACAAAGTGAATGATGGGAAAAGAAAGGCTAAGCAAGAGTTTCTAGTTGATCCAACCACTGAAAATGCTCAGAGGCTGCTTCCTTTTAATATTAGACCAGAAGAAACTGCCACGGCTTGCAAAGAGAGTGGTCAACAGCCTGCCTCCATGCATGTTCTGCCATGTGAGACCAGTGCCAGTCCTACCCAGTGGGCTTCACCATTGGCATTAGTAAAGCTCCTTTTATCTTGTGCCAGAAGAATCAGGCCTTATCTCTTTTTGTTTGTAATGAGCAGTTAGAGCAACTGTCCTTTGATTTTCAATCTAAGATCTAATGTTGGTGAGCACTTTTATGTTCTTTGTTGTGTCTCTCAGAAATGAGATGTGGAGCTTGTTGTGCGGGAGGGTGGTTACAAGTATTTTATCTTGGGTTCATTTTAATTGGATTTGTTTTGGTGGGAAGCATTGCTTCCCCTTTCTTAGTTACTAAGTAAAGATGCTAGTGGCTTTTATTTTAATCTGTTGAAGTTGTGGGGTCTGGCAGCTTGGTGGGAAAAAAACCTGTTCTATTTTGTAATCAGAGTAAAGTTGATTTGGGAGTTGCCAGAGGAGGGAGTGTCCCAGGGTTATTTTCTGGGCTAGCTATAACTATACTTAAAAATTCTGTCTGGGCCCCACATATAAGAAAACTCTTCTGCCTGCCTTCCCCCTCCCTCTCCAAACTATGAACTCAAGACAGTCCAACTGGATGTTAAATATGCTTGTTTTACTGGCTTAACCCTGTCTTCCTTCTGCATCTGATCCTGCACACCTTTCTCCCAGGTTAGACTAGGAGGAGTTAAATTGCATTCTTTGTCCATGCAAAATGTCCACTGAGTTCAAAGATGGTACCTGTGTGGAACAGACTGATTGGGAATACCGGCAGAGCTCTGTTTTGGACTTCTCTGTGCCTTGCTGTGTGCATGTACAGTCTATGCCCATGATGTCTGTTTATACACAGCCACTCTCTGTAGCTTTGGCACCTAGTTTATGAAGTGCCAAAAACATTTATTGTGGCGGGGAGGAAAAGGGGTTGGGGTGGGGGGCATGTTGATGCTTTGAATGAATGAAGTTCTCTTATACCAGATTGAAATGATAAAATCCCAGTCTCGGTGGAAAGTTGTACTGCTTTAACTAAAACTGGGATTTTAAAGCAAGTTAGTTAAACAGGTGGAACTTTGTGTGCAGTCTGATATCTTTTCAGCTTGGCTTGTTTCTGTTTAGCTCATACCATATAAATCTGGTTTAAACCCATATATGTATGTTCAATCAGGGTTTTTCACCAATTCATCTTTAATTTAACAGTTGTGTACAGATAAGTCCTACCATTTGTCCCATGGCCTCCTCAATATGCTGTATAGCTGTATTTTGAAGAGTGAACTTTTGGATTTTCATTGAATTTAAAATCTGGGTCTCATTTTTTCCTAGTTAATCACTGGAGTCAGTGGAAATCCTTTAGGCATTAATTTGGTTCTCTCAGAACCAAGGTATTTTGCCATAAACAATGAACTATAGAGAAAACCTGTATAGATGGCTACAGTGCTCCAGTTCTCACGGACCAGGCCATTCTCGAGCAGTAATCTTTTTGCTGCATGTTTTTAAATGGAATGTGCAACATATCTGATTTTTTTTTTTTTTTTTTTGAGCGATTATGATGTGGAATTGATTTCTAGCTCTGTTTTCTCTGCAGGCTTGAAGACCATTGTGGGTGCCCTAATTCAGTCTGTGAAGAAGTTATCTGATGTAATGATCTTGACAGTGTTTTGCCTAAGTGTCTTTGCTTTGATTGGACTGCAGCTGTTTATGGGCAATTTGAGGAACAAGTGTGTGATTTGGCCAATTAACCTCAATGAGACCTTCCTAGAAAATGGTTCCAGGGGGTTTGACTGGGAGGAATACACCAACAATAAGTGTAGGTATTTCTACAGCAATGCTCTCTAAAGACTTTCTTTTATACATGACTTATTGTTGTCCACATGTAATTCTAGGTGCCCAGCTTCCAATACCTTAAAGAGGGTTGGCTCAGAGAAGAGGGCACTTTTGGGAAATGAGGTCTTATTAAGATGTCTCAACTTGGGCATCCAAAATTACTAAACACTTTAAAAATAGTTGTCTCTGATCTTTCCAGCCTTGGGAATGAGGAGCCTAGAGTACCTGTTGCTCTCTGGGTAGTCAGTATAGAAAGGTGGACAACTGCAAATAGAAACTGTCTTGTTATAACATTGTGGGCAATTTATCATATCCAGAGAAATCAGGCAAAGCTAATCAGACTTGTAAAACACTCTTTGAGTTTTTAACCCTGCAGAATCCCAGTTAGCCATGTCCCACCCTTCACAGCATAGCCAAAGCACAACTCCACTTTAAACACACATAGGACTTGGAGTGGCTGGTGCATTCAGTTTATTAAATTTTGGTTCTGCAGCAAGGAGGCTCCAGGCATTAGAGCAGGGGACACAAGTGCTCTCTGTACCCCTCTGAGTTGTGCCTGCACTAAGCCTGGGCCCAACCCCTGCCTTTTTCATTGTATTTGTTTAGCATCCCCATGCACCTGCCACTCCTGACTCCAAAAGCCTTTTCTTTGTGTCAGTCAGAGTTGGCTTAAAAAGAATGCAAGTATTTGCAAAAGACTTATGCAGAAAAAACTTGATCGGCAGAGCTTGTCTGTTTGTAACCAGTAGGTCTCCTTCAAGTAGCTGTCTATATGCACATCCTCACTCTGGGTGCCCGTGTCACAAGTACTTAGACTCAGAGATTTTTTTTTGCCTCATCTACAGATGTATAATGGCCCTGTGTTTTCTTATACCTACCCCACACTGAAGGGATAAAAGATGGTGCATGCTTCCTGCTCCCCAATTTCCCTTACCTGTTTCAGTTTAGCTCTTGACTCATGCTAACTGCAGCTTATAGCCCTTTTGAAGCCCTCCCTTTGTGGAGCTTCTACCCTTCTATGCTTTTTCTATTGCTCCTGTCTGAACTCTGTTTCTTTTCTTGGGGCCATGACTCTTGCCCCAGAAGCTGGGAAGATTTTCAGGGCATTCAGGACTTAAGGCATTCTGTAGCCCAGATCATGCAAATTTCCCTTGAGGAAGTCAGTGAGGCTGCCCACAAGTTAATGGGTTTTTTGAAGCCTTCTGGCCCTGAGAGGGGCTGTGTGTGCTACATCCTGCACACTTCTCTCTGGTAGGGGCTGCTGCCAATGATGGCAAAGCCACTGAGATTACTGCAAAGAGAAGGACCCTAAATCCTTAGACCTTTGGATGAAACGCCTGTTCCTTCACATCAGAATTGCTGTTCAGAAGGCTCTCTTTGCCATGTACCACTTCTTCAGCTATAAGCATATTACCAATGCTGTGGACTCTTTACTGGCAGAATTGCAAGAAGTCTTCTTAGTCCTTGTATCCAAAGAACAATCAGGAACTAAGACTACACTTCACGTAGCTTTGGCTGCTACAGATATTCTCTCCTGGTTCACAGTCATAGCAATGGTCAGGAGGCAATCCTCCTGGTTAAAAGGGTCCAGTTCCCCTCTGCTAGATATTAAGGATAATACAATAAGTCCCCTCATACCTCAAGGAAAATGGATTCTAGAACAGTTACTTCCGTATTCCAAAGAAGAAAGGCAATTGCCATCCCATCTCAGACCTAATGAAGCTCAGTGTTTTCCTTTGCACATACTGGTTCAGATTCATACTAGCCACTGTCATACTCTACTTGCAAAGGGGGGATATGTTTTCATTTCTCCCTTCCCTGGAGTCAGATTATGCAGTACCTTTCAGTTGAAAAGCATCTCAGCAGTGGGCTCTTGTTGCCAAGAAGGCTAACAGCATACTAGGCTGCATTGGTAGCTGTGTTGCCAACTGGTCAAGGGAAGTGATTCTTCCCTTCTCTTCTGCACTGGTGAGGCCATATTTGGAGTCCTGTGTCCAGTTTTGGGCCCCCCACTACACAAAGGATGTGGACACACTGGAGAGAGTCAAGCGGAGGGCAGCGAAAATGGTTCAGGGGCTGGGGCACATGACTTACAAGGAGAGGCAGAGGGAACTGGGCTAGAAGACTGAGAGGGGATTTAGTAGCAGTCTTAAACTCCCTGAAGAAGGGTTCAAAAGAAGATGGAGCTGGACTGTTCTCAGTGGTAACAGATGACAGAGCAAGGAGCAATAGTCTCAAGTTGCAGCAAGGGAAGTTTAAGTTAGATATTAGGAAGAATTTTCTCACTAGAAGGATAGTAAAACACTGGAACAGGTTACCCATAGAGTGAGATCTCCATCCTTGGAGGTTTTTAAGACCCGGCTAAACAAAGCCTTGGCTGGGATGATCTAGTTGGGCTGGTCCTACTTTGAGCAGGGGGTTGGACTAGATGTGACCTCCTGAAGTCCCTTCCAACTCTCATTTTCTATGATTCTGTGAGGAATGGGAACTTCACAGAAGCCTTTATCCCCTCAGCATAGAGCAGTAGCCATGGAGCCATGACACACTCTACTGGCACTGTGAAGCCAAAATGCCTCCAAGCTCCAGTGTTTGTGGTATAGGCAGAAAAGGTTCTTTGGGTAAATCTGATATCTTTTATTAGACCAACTCAGTGCACTCTCACATGGTTCACAATTATTTTAATGGTTCATATGGTGTTGAGTATCTTGACTTCTGGTGTGGAGGTAGTCACCTGTGTGAACAGTGAATCCTAAGTGCTTATGGGTGTGCCTAGATACTCTTCAAACATAAGCAAAAGCTGGTTTTAGAATAACACCTGGGCATGATCCTGAGTCAAGAAAGGTGCTTGTGGACACTTAGTTTTGCTTAGTGAAGTGTGGAAGCTCAAGAGTCTGCCCATTTTTTGTCTCCACGTAGTTATCACTTGAGTCGAACCTGTGCTGGATGTTGTTACAGGCCTGATTCCTCACTGCCTTGTATCAACCTTTGCACCTACTTAAAGCAGGTGCAACATGGCATCCACTGGTGCAATTGATGTCATAAGATGAGTGGTATTGGGGAATCTAGCTCCAGGTCTTTGCAGCTTCCTTCCCCATTTGGGTATTAACCTGCTCCCATGTGCCAGCAGTGCATTTGTATTTCCATTTAAACTGTTGTGTTGGCTTACAGGGAGGTGTTCAAACTCAGGCCTGTTTAGCTCAGCTAAAATTATTTAAAGCAGAATAGTCCAGATTATGGTTTTATCAATGCTTCTGTAGTATTGCAAAATGCTCAGACCCATAACTGTGTGCATGGAAACACCTTTAAATCTTTTTTTCCCCCCTAGCAAATTTCTATACAATCCCTGGGGCCCTTGATCCTTTACTCTGTGGAAACAGCTCGGATGCAGGGTAAGTGTTGAGTTTTAGCCAAATTAAGAACATCTTTCATCAACAGTTTAATGATAGCAGAGGCTGAGGAGGTTGCCTGCAGCCCGTTCTCTTTGGTTGCTAGCTTCTGTCATACAGTCCCCATCTGCAATGGTATCTTTACTCTGCATACATTGTGCTTGATGCCAAGCAGCTGTACAGACCTGCTGCATTGCTGTGTTATACCTTAAAAGTAACTGTTTAAAAAATATATTCTTTTCTGCTTCACTTTGCACCACTTAAAATTAAGCAACTGATCTGTATGGAAAATTGCATTAAACAGGTTATTTCCCCTCAGCTTACTTGGAAAAGGACCAATCTTATCATAGTTAGGCTGGGATTTTTCAAAGGAGGCTATGTAAGGTAAGAGCACAACTCCTGTTAACCTCTTATTATTCCCTGTCGTTTAGGACTGTAGGTGCCTAAATAAGTCTAAAAATCTGGTCCTTTCGGTATTTTTAGAAATACTACCCTGTGTTCCTTTTTGCCTGTAGTCTCCTTTTGAAAATCCCAGCCCTAATCTTTAGTGCTCCCCTTTAATTAGATGAAGAGTAATTGATTTAAATATGGGTACAGATTACAGTATTCTCTAATATTTGTAAAAGAGTTCTGTTTACTAGAAAACAAAGGTGTTAATTATCCTTATGGTTAGAGATACTTTAAGGAGGAGCTGGATTAGTAAAAAGGGTAGGAACAGGAAGAAGAGTTTATATTATTGGTAAATTCAGCCACCTGCTTGTTGAACCCTTGGGTTATTCAGAAGGCCCGGGAGGCTCGGATGGCTGGGAACATTCTCTGAAATTGTCTCACCTCTAGATCACTGGTCATAGTCCAGCCTAGTCGCTGCTTACTGTTTTACTAATTCTGCATTGATCAGGAAATCAGTTGGCATTTCTCAGTCTGTATTCCAGTGAGCAAGTGCCTGTTTCAAATGACCTTGCCCTACCACAAGTGGCATTGCCTGCCTCCTGGATGCTGGTCTCTGCCACTGTGTTCTTCGCTAACTCATGGCCTGTTGACTTGCATAGAAAATCTTCCACTATCTCCAATAGGCTCACCCAGGTCATCCCTTGGGCTGAAGGAGTCAACTGCTAGGCCTTCCAGGCCCAGCCTCTTGCTGCGCTATCTTTGCCCTGTGGGCCACTGTTCCAGACTCTAGGGCTGTCAATGCACCTTTATTTACTTGGAAATAAGCCCACATGGAAATCAAAGTGTATATCAACTGCTGTGACCTGGTCCTGTGGAAGTCCCTATAGCCTCTAGGAACAAGTGACCTGGTAATTTGTCCTTATGGCTTTTTCAATATTGATGCCCTGAGACATCTTATATTTTTTCTGCAGTCAATGCCCGGAGGGTTACACATGCATGAAAGCAGGGCGGAATCCAAACTATGGCTACACAAGCTTTGACACTTTCAGCTGGGCTTTTCTGGCTTTATTTCGCCTTATGACTCAGGACTTTTGGGAAAACTTGTATCAATTAGTAAGTAAATGTATTGCTTCTCTGTTGTATGGCGGGGAGAGGTGGGGGGGAAATGGGAGCCAGGGGGAGGGGACTGTATTCTTGTTTATGGTATCCTAAATGAGTGCCCATAAGTACACTGTGTGACTTTAGAGGAGGTATGTTTTAAGGAGAGGAAAAATGGTAGCACCCTGGGCAGGATTCATCCTACAAAAGCAGTTCTTAAAGCTCTTAAAGCTTATAGCAGATTCTCTTGTGAATACTGAAAAAGTCTTGCTGTATGTTGCACACGGGACATGCACCTCAGCTTTGCTGACACTCTCTTGTAGCATAACAGAGGGCATCCAGGTGCTGTGGAGGGCACGGTGGTTCCATAATGTGTAAGAACAATTCAGACTTCTGTAGCAGTTTGCCATCTTGCTGAACCACCATCTGTTTGAAGGAGTTGGTGTTGCATTTCAAACTGTGCTTCTGACTCTCTTTAAACATGTCTTCTTCGGTCAGATTTGTAATGTTAAGTCCTGCCTGATATTGCATCAAGATTGCTTTTAAAGGGAGTAGGAAGAGACATTTCATTCCTTGCGCCTAAGTTGACTGGGAGTGCTGTGTCCTAATGCTTTATCATGGGACCTGCTAAGATGTTAGATAACCTGCTGTGCATACAGCACCGTATATTTTCTGTAGGACCATCCATGTCAGGAGGCCTAGGATCAGGTGCCCAGGTCCATGTTGTAGTCATTCTTCTGTGTCAAGGGATTTATTAGGAAATGGCGGTCTCTTTTCAGACATTGCGAGCAGCGGGAAAAACCTACATGATCTTCTTTGTCCTGGTGATCTTTGTGGGGTCGTTCTATCTAGTCAATCTGATCTTGGCTGTGGTAGCCATGGCTTATGAAGAGCAGAACCAGGCCACGCTGGAGGAAGCAGAGCAGAAAGAGGCAGAATTTAAGGCCATGTTGGAACAGCTGAAAAAGCAGCAAGAGGAAGCACAGGTTAGTGTTTTTGTTTTGTTTTTTAAGTTCATAATTTTTAACATATAGAGATTTCCCTTTCAGGTGCAGGGCACAGCCATATTACCATAAAATAGTCTTATACTGGATGATGTATCTGGGCATATCTCCTCTCTTTGGGATGGAAGCAGACCTTTCTACACTGTGTTCACATGCCTTGTCCTACTGGCCTTTTTTTTTTTTTAATTTTAAGGGCACTCAAGTAGCAGGGGCTGGGGCTTTTGTAGTCAGAAGAGTCTTTGTTGGATCTCTCCTGCACCCATGACATTCTAGATGTATGGCATGCTGGTAATGGTCAAGTCCTTAGGTAACTGCTGGTTTATTATATTAGCTTTGTAGTCTTAAAGCACCTTTTATCAAAGCCTCTCAAGGTCTCTGGTTAAGCCTGGTAACTCCCATGCGAAACAGGTAAGCCTCACTTTACCCACCTCACAGAGATTGAGTTGAGGGGCAAAGAGGTGAAGTTTCTTGCTCAAAGCTTAGTGAGCCAAGGGTAGTCTGCAGACCCACAAGTCCCTGGTAACTCCTCCAAGAAGAGAACATAGCACCTAGGAGCACTGCCCCTTGGTTTTGTTCTATGCCTATTAGACCACGTTCCTTCCCAGAGCAGAAAGTAGAGGCCAGGGTCCTTGGTCAGCCTCCTGCAGCGGCGGCTCTGCCCCTGCCTGTGAGACGGATACTGTTTTGCCCCAACCCCTTTTCCTACCTCTCTGAGGTCTGTGGAGAGTTAATTCAACTGATTCATAGTACTTCTCTCTCCCTCAGGCTGCAGCCATGGTCACTTCAGCAGGGACAGTGTCTGAAGATGCTGTGGAGGATGATGGTGGGGGCAGGGTGTCTCGAAGCTCCTCTGAGATTTCCAAGCTCAGTTCTAAGAGCGCCAAGGAGCGGCGGAACCGGAGGAAGAAGCGAAAGGACAAAGAGCTGTCAGAAGGTGACGAAAAGTGCGACAACGAGAAAGTGTTCAAGTCTGAATCAGAGGATGGTATGAGGAGAAAGGCCTTCAGGCTGCCAGATAACAGGCTGGGAAGGAAATTTTCCATCATGAACCAGGTATCATTCTTTGCTGTTATAAAGGATCGTTCATTTCCACTCAGGACAATTTCCTGTTTTGAGGCCTGGTTCAGTGCACATGGCATATCAAGGAGATCAGTCCATTGACTTTGGTTGACATTGGATCAAGTGGATGCTTGGGTCCAGTCCTGTAGATGAAGGAGCGTAAATTGGAAGAAGCACTGAAGTCGGTAGATTTACCCAGGTGACTTCAGTTAAAAGTCAGGAGCATAAGTTGTTAGGCCTTTTGAAAACTGTACCCAGCTTGCTAAGGTTATATAGTTTTCTTAGAGTTTTATTTTCAGCTGAAGGTGATGGAGTGAAGGAGTTCAGGATTGAAGTCTTGTCCTAGAGCCCAGCAAGAAAGCAACAGCTAGGGGTGCTTGTTGCCACAGTGCCCTGCAGATGTGGGCTCACCTTGTTTTGAAGGAGCCCTTCTAGAGGCAAAAAGAGAGCGCAGTCCCTGTGCCTCTCTTTTGAGCCTGTTCCCCGGGGTTACTTGTGTCTGTGCTGTAACTACATAGAGACCAAAAACAGGATGAAAGCCTCACTGGGCAGGCATGGAAGACCAATCAGTTCCTGCCTCAGAAAACTTTCTGTAGTGTGCTGGCTCAGAGGAGTTTTCTGGCGAAGTGAAAATGGTCTTGGCTTTTACCAGCAAGAGAGTGCTTTTGACAAGGGAGCCGTAACCAGTTCTGAAACAGAAAAGAGATTCTCTGCTGTTAGTAAATTGCATCTGCTGGCATGACCGAGTTGTGTGAGGGATGATTTCATTCATGCTCCTGGTTGATCTACCCATGCTAACAAAACTTTTTGGGGAGTGACTAAGCTTAAGTAATAGTGCTTCCTACAATGCAGATAAACGTCCCCTTGCAAATGGCATGAACCCCGCTGCAACAGACAAGTGCTTGCACTGAATTATGACATCCTTTGATCTTGTTCTGTTTGTGTCTGTACCATTTGCACTATTTTTCTTTCTCTTCCCCCTGACAGTCCCTCCTCAGCATTCCTGGCTCCCCTTTCCTTTCCCGGCACAACAGCAAGAGCAGCATCTTCAGCTACAAGGGGCGCTTCCGTGACCCAGGCTCAGAGAATGAGTTTGCTGATGATGAGCACAGCACGGTGGAGGAGAGCGAAGGCAGGAGAGACTCCCTTTTCATCCCTATCCGTGGTCGGGATCGGAGAAGCAGCTACAGTGGCTACAGTGGCTACAGCCAGGGCAGCCGGTCCTCACGAATCTTCCCAAACCTTCGTCGGAATGTGAAAAGGAACAGCACGGTTGATTGCAACGGCGTGGTGTCTCTCATCGGCGGCCCCACGTCCAATGTGCCTGGGGGCCGCCTTCTGCCTGAGGTGAAAATAGATAAGGCAGCTACTGATGACAGTGTAAGGAAGTCAATGAGCACAAAGTCTAGGCATGGTGATCCGCCCTCTTCTGCTTCCCTGTATGCTGGTCTCCAAGCCAAATGGACACCCTGATGGAATGAAAATTGGTTTGTCTAACCGCAGACAGCATAGTCTGTACCAGATTAAAAACTACCATGCTTCAGTTTCCCTCTTTTCCTTCTTAAATTAACCTACTGACCTACATCCTTCTCCTGGCTTCCTGGGAAAAAAGGCTTGGAATTGAGCTTTTAACTAAGGGAATAATAAAAAGAGGCCTGCCATTTTTCAGGGTTGACTCCTCAGTAGGATGGGGCATTGGAAAAACAGATCAGGCTTTACTGGAAGTTTTTCCCATGGCTAAGGAATAGTGCTGGGGAATTTAAAGGGTATAGATAAGAAAGGAGAAATTTTTAAAACTCAACTAACCATGAAGAAATCTTTATGGAGAGAAAATTTAAATAAAAAAAAATTAAAGACGAGACAAAGTTATGTTCTAAGACACTGATCCTGCCATTGCTTCTCCCTGGGGCAAATTCTTTGGTCCTTACCAGATTAAGTTAATGGCATGCCACTTGCCATAAGTACTCAGCTTCTAGGCTTCACCCTCCTACATGGATCAGCTTGCAGGATTGGGGCCTAAAAAGTGGAGGAAGGAGAAAGTGAAATTTCAAACAAAGGAGAGAGTCAGGGAGTAAGACAGACCTCTGGGGAGAAACAGGACTTAAGAGAAATGAGGAAAGCAGCTTCAGGCAGGGCACTGTCAAGAAATGTAGGTCCAAAGTCTAGGTTTTGTATATGTATATTTGCAAAACCTAGTATAAATGAAATGTTTTCATGGAACTGAGAAGTTTCTATAAAAACAGTTTCATTTTGGGTCTTAACCTGTCAGCATGGCAAGAGTGCATGAATAACAAGACGTGAAACTGAGTGTTAACATGAGGAAACCCTTACACGTCTAGTTTCACTGTCCAAGCTGAATGAAATGCAGAAAAAGAAACTATCAGTTTAGGTAGTTGGAAAATATTTTTTTTAATCCTTCTGTTTTAATCATCTCACCCTTTGTGTGCATGTCCTATAGCGTTTAACAGAGGCAGCCTACCGATATAATTTTTAAATCACGTTATGAAACTCTAGGTCTGGAGTATAATTCTTTCCAAGACTTAATCCTGTAATCGAATCTCTGCACGTGGCCATTTGCAGACAAGTACACTAGTCCTTTGCAGAATCAGGCTCTTCAGTTCCGTAGGCTGCTTAGAGGAATATCTGTGGAGTTTCATCTCTGTTAAGTCCTATAGGATTTTTTCCACAGGGGAAAACTTAACATAATGTAGGATTTTTTTTGCATCATAATTTTAATATCTTTATTTTCTCTTGACAGTAACCTTTTAAAACAAGAGGGGTGAATGAATGGGGGGGGTCAGAGAATTCATTCTTAAAAATCTCAGCAGGACAAATGAGGAAGTAGACAATCTACTTGGAGTTGATTTGGGAGCTTAGATAAGATAAAAATACAGAGTCACTTATGACCTGTCTAAAACCATAGTTTCCAGAATGGCTCTGGATACTGTCTCAAAATTCCAAGCAGTTTTTTTTAATTGTTTAATTCTTGCAACCTAAATTAATACCTGCTAACCCCTGACTCTTCCCTGAGACTTTACTGGCCTTTCTTTAGTTGTTAAGTTTCAGTTACTGCCGCCTGCTCCAGTTAGCATGTTAGTAAAATGTGTTTTTTCAAGATTTAGTTCTCTTTCTAACACAGCATGGAAATGATAGAAACTGTAATCTGCATGATGCATGCATGAGAGAGACGGTATTATGCAATACTGGGTATGCTGGTTGGAGGTTCTTTTTGGTAACCTACTATCACCAGAGTTAAACAATGCAGCTACTGGTTAACCTCATGACAGCTGAGGAACTGTTGAGTTGACGGATACTTCAGTTACTCATAGAGTATGTATCTTGTATCCTTGGGAAAGGAGAAACAAAGGTCTTTTGTGGGAAGTGTGTACTGTGCATCAGTCACCAACAGCAAACTCCTTTCTTGAGTTCAAGACAGTGATCCATTAGCAGCGCACAATGTTTCAGAGTTTTGGACTGGGTCCCACTTAAGTCAGGGACAGTACACTTGGACTGGGATTTTTCAAGGGGCTTGAAAGAAGAGAAGAACTCCTTTAGACTCCCTGGAAAAGCCTTGCCCCACTGGTTACCCAGGGGACAGGATTGGCCCTTTACTAGTGTGATGCATGGCAAATAATTACAGCTGTCCTGTTTAGCAAAATCCAGATTTCTCTCTGGACTCAAATGAGCATTGAGAGCACAGGGCACCAGGCAGTATTAGATCATTGCACTGCTGTATGTCTTGAAGTGTTGTCAGCTCCATTGTTCTCAGTGGGCCCCTGTGGGGAAGTGTCTGTTATCTATGAGGAATGCTCAGTGCTGAGCTCTTGTGACCCCAGTTTTCAGATGTAGGTTTTGAAACAGAGCAGCCGAATCCTGTGTTCAGGAGCAGATCATTAATCCCTACTCTTCCAAATTCAAGTAGCTCAAATGGGGCTGTTTTGAAGCCTCATGTTCTCATCTGGAGGGTTGTAAATTGATTGGTTGGAAAGCTCTGAATGTATAAAGACATTCATTCATTCTCTCAAGGGAAAACTCCCAGGAATGATTTAACCCCGGTTGTTTCCAGGTTATTTTGCTCTTGGAGCGGCCATTTTTGCTCTTAGAATAAAATCCTGAACATCTGCACACTTGTGGTTTCTCCAGGGAGCAGCAACTCTCCCAGGAGAAACTGTCTGTACGTGGCCTAGGTAATTCACCTGCTACCTCTTGGATCTGTTCAATGACTTTCCATTTTACATCTGATGCATGGGCTTCTAATATGGCATAGGTCAAGCTGTTAAGCATGTAAGAGCCAAACTTTTTAAAAGGTCTAGTCCTGCTTACATGTGCAGTTGCAAAGTTACATAGGCGTACAGGGTCAAGTGATTACTAAATGCAAGATGCAGGTTCATGACTGCAAATGCATTTGTGAATATAGGCCATCCCCTTGATTATTGATGTTTTATTTTCAAATTACTGTCATCTTTTATTTGGTTTCCAGTAGATAGATGAATATATGAAATACTGCCTGTGCTTTCTTCTGCTTTAACAGAAGAATAGAGTTTGCCTGCTTTGCGCCTATGTTAAATTTACAGAAAAGTTTGTGCAAGCATTCTTTAAAATGTAGGGTCTTTCCTTTCTCTAAGGTTGCAAATTGCTGATACCAGTGTAAAAATAAAGTGTTTGTTTCTGCTCTGTCCCCTGCTTATGAAAATTAAGGGAGTGAAATGTCTAAGGGGAACAAAAATGAGTATAAGTGGACAATATGAATTCAGGAGAAACTAATCTCCTTGTGGCCTCTCCTCCACCAGCTGCACTGCAGCAGATCTCTCTTCTGTTAGGGCTGGTTTGTATTAGGAATTTCTCTATAGCGATGGAAGCTAAGATTAACCAGGGCAGGGTGCCACTCTACTAGGACAATTGCATGAAGCCATTTCCAGCCTTAAAGACCATGAAATCTAAACAGACCAGACAGACAAAAGGTGGGAGAAAGGATGGACTGTTTTTAAGTGTCTTGCCAAAATGCACAAGGGGTCTGTGTCAGCTGGGCTCTTGTGTCCCAGTCATCACATTACACACAAGGGCAGCCTGCTTGAGGAGTAAAATACTGTGCAAATAGAGCAGCAGGGTGCCAACCTACTGATGGATTTTAGAACATCTTTCAGCTTGTCTTAAATAGACACGTATTCTGCGTGAAGAACACACAGGAAATCCTCCACACTTCTCCTTGAGATCTCAACTTCCAGTAACCTGATTTATGTTTTTAACTAGCAAACTCTATTGCTGCAGCCCAGTAACGCTATCTCAGGTATCTTGATCTTGAAGAGGTACAGGGATTTTGGTAAAACAACAAAACCTGACCTGTTTTTTTTCTCTTGGTTGCATGTGGCATCTCTAACCTGACAGCATATAAAGTGGCAAAAAAACCAGAGGTCTATGCTAATCGGTGTGTGAATTTTGCAGGGAACTACTGAAGTGGCAATCAAAAAGAAACCTACTGGGTCTCTCCTGGTCTCAGTGGATCAGCTGAATGCTTCCTTTGGAAGAAAGGATCGAACCAACAGTATAATGACTGTTGTGACCAATACCCTTGTAGAAGGTGTGTTACAGTGCTATGTAATTCTTTTTTTGGCGGGGGGGAATGAGGGGGGGGTACAACTGTCCCCTTGTGGCAAGCTTTGAAATGATTAAAAACCTACAGTTCTAACACTGTATTAGCAGAGTGTAGCCCTGTGTTAGGTGGTGGGTTTGATCCCTGCTGTCCCTACAAGCAGTTTGCCTGGAGACTGTTGTGCAACAGTGGTTACATTACTGCAATGGTGCGATAATTAGAGAGGGTTGTTTGGAAGGCTTATGTGAATGCTTGTTTGTTTTCACCCCTTACCCACAGAAGCTTGGCTCAGTCTTGTGACCTAGATCCTGAGTTTGGGCTTTCATTATAAACCCATGATTTAAAGTCAGGGACCCATGAGTGTTTTATACAGCTGTGTTAATTGCTCTGGGGGGACAAAGTAGCACACAGCTGTCACCATGTAACTGTGGGTACCTCACAATAAGGAGGTGAGTAACAGCTGGGACCCAGGCAGGGAACTGGCCAACACAACAGCTTGTCAGTAGTCACGGAAAAGGTGAGTTTGAACCGTGGTAAGCAAAGCAAAGAATTGACAGCAGCCAGGGGGTTTGCTAGTCCAAAATGAGGGGTACAAACAGATGTTTCTATTGTGTTGATGCAAAGGCACCAAAATGGTGCAGGGCTGTCCCCTTAGAAAAATGTACATCCCGTGCAATTTGTTTGCACCTAAATCTGTGGCTCTCTGTATACATGCACTGTGTATATTTATTAGGCTTTATTTTACTTGCTTGAGCATCCAAACTACACAGGTAGGGAGATAAAAGCAGCTAGAGAGTCATAAGGTTCCAGTAACAATACGCAGAAGGGAAATTAGAGGTGTTGATAGAAAACCTGGTCATGTAGGTGTTTCTGCTTGCGCAGGAAATGGGGAGAGCCTCCTTTGCCTACAGCCCAGTGATAAAGACAGACCTGAACCACACTGAATCTCAGCTCTCAGAAGAGAAAACAATTTCTATACGATACGAAAAACAGCAGATGGAGATGTGGAGAGAACCTTTATTTCCAAATATTCTGCGGGAGACTAGTCGTATGAGGCTGTTGTTCTCAGATTCTTACTGGCTCATGTAATGCAATTATATGAGAACTAAATATACTTGAAAACAGAGCATGGTTTCTTTGCTGCTTCCCTCCTGCACAAACTCCCACGGGCTCCAGTGCACAGTTCCTTTTTTTTTTTTTTCCCAAACTTTCAAAAAACCAAGGCAACCATATTCTTAGCAACCAGCATACCAACTGCAAAGGAAGAAATCCATCAAATGTTTCCTCCCTTCCCCCCCCACATAAAAAATAAGAAAGCTAGCATCATAATGGATAGGGCAGTCCAGATGAGGTAACTGGAGGGCAAAAAAGGGACAAAAACTGCAGAAGTCATCAAGAAAAAAGATTAATGCTTTAAATAAAACCATAGTAGGCATGGATATAGTTTTCAGTAAATGGACACACAGCAAAGAGAGCCTTCACTGTAAGGGCTTAAAGGGAAGCATAAACAGAAAGACATGGAAAGGGGTGCAGGTGTTGCAGTAATGCTGGACCCATGCTAACACATAAAGACAGATCCCACAGAACTGGGAAGACAAGGCTCAACTATTTTTACTATTTTGTTTTATGACTGCAGAGTTGGAAGAGTCCCAGAGGAAGTGCCCCCCTTGCTGGTACAAATTTGCCAACACCTTCCTGATCTGGGAATGCCACCCACACTGGATCAAGTTGAAGGAGATAGTGAACTTGATTGTCATGGATCCTTTTGTTGACCTGGCCATCACCATCTGTATTGTGCTGAACACTTTGTTCATGGCAATGGAGCACCATCCCATGACCCCTCAGTTTGAACATGTGCTGTCCGTAGGAAATCTGGTAAGAGGGCTTTGGTAGAGCATCCCCAATATTGTCAGGGGGGTTGAAAAACTCTGGGGACATTGTTTAATGGTGCCTGGCAGATCCATTTTTAAGGGCAAATGAGCAATCTTAATGATACCATATCGTCCTCTTGTGCATCAATTCTTGCAAATACTTTGAGAAGGTCTGTGTGTGTGTTCTCATGCATCCCTGCCTTCATCGGCTGTTACACGTGTTTATGTGAGGTCTGGCATTAGTAGCAGTCCCTCCATCCTGGCTTAAGTGGATGTAAAAGTCCATCTCTGGTGTGTGGACAGGGTGTATAGGGTTTGTTTGCTGAAAGTGCTGCTGCCAGGGAATCCCCACTTTACAGTGAGGGAGAGGCCCAAGAGTGGAGCCATAAATTGTCTCTGCTGTGATAAACATGCTTCAACCCATGCCTCCTAATCCATGAGTACACCCACCTTTTTTAAGTTGATTCATTTGTGTAGACATATGAAGGGGTGAAGATTTCCTTTTTCCAGTGTGGGAAGGGGAAGACACTGGTAGGTACTATCCATAAACTTTTATTTGCTCCAGAGCATCAGTTTCCACCTCTCCAGGTGCGTTTGTCTTTGTTAGTCTGTCTCTTCGTACAGCAGGGCTGTGATGGGCACACCCAGTTGGTGGAAACTAGTCAGTAAACCACCCAGGACAGGTCTTGCATTGCAATGTATCTTTAATTAGCTTGGGAAAAGAGGCTGTTGTTTGCTATAAATGGATACTGGGATTCATCTCTTTGCTGCTTCCCTGAGGACCAGAAGTCCATGAGGAGGGAACTTCCTTCGGTAGCAAACAGCATTAGTAGATTTGCAGCAGTAGCATAGATGACACATCTTCCAGGTTAAGTGACTTAGCAGTAGTGGCCTTTCCAGGAAGATGAGGAGGGAACAATGGAGTGGCAGGGTAGCTCCTGTAGTCATGCACGCCAGGGGTGGGGATGGAGAGGAGAAAGTATTCATATAGGCAAGTCCCATATCATTGCATAGACCACCACAGAACTGATTCAAAAAAAGATTGCAGGACATCTGGTTGTAGCTCACTGTTAACTTCTCTTGGATGTTTGCATGATGACACCTGAAACTAGACTGAAGTGCATCTTTGTGTGTGCACTTTCTTTTTGTGTCTCCTTTTCACTCCAGGTTTTCACTGGAATTTTCACAGCAGAGATGTTCCTGAAGCTCATAGCCATGGATCCCTACTATTATTTTCAAGAAGGTTGGAACATTTTTGACGGATTTATTGTCTCCCTCAGTTTAATGGAACTGGGTCTACAAGACGTGGAGGGGCTTTCAGTGCTGCGATCTTTCCGATTGGTATTCCATATTTCTCCCATTTCTTTTTGAAGTTTCCTATCTTGCAGCTACTAGAAAACCTTTTACATAAGTTAATTTAAGAAAAATCCTCAGTTCTATTCTTGGAAGGGAACTGGAGCAGAGTGGTGGGGGAAGGCAAATCTTGTGTTTGTGGTCTTTTGAAAAGGAAAGAAAATTGTTTCTTAAAATCAGCTAATTCTTATAAGTAAATACTACTCCCTTCCAAAACTAGTCCTTTCAATACCTATTTTTCCTCCTAAATAACAAATTTAAAGTTTCTTTAAAATATCAAATCAACCAAATTGAGTGGTAATTCACTGCACCCTTTGTTAAAGCAGAGAGAGAAAAAAGCTGCTTTCATTTGCTCAGTGAAAAACCTAGGCAAAAAACCCCTCTGAAACGACAGACTTAAAAAATATGAAGATGCCCTATTTCAGACTGAAACCTGCAAAGAGGGGTATTTGTGTTGGCTAAGAATAGAATTGGTAACCGGGCTTCTGTTTTCATGTTTTAATTTATACTCATTTTCATTGTTTATTTCTGGCAATTTTGGTGCCTTGTTACTCTCTGGAAAATGGCAGAGGGTATTTTGGGTTGTTACATCTGATCAGAAATAGTCTGTTTTTCTTAGCACTGAAACTAGCTCAATTTTTGAAATATTATTAATGATTTGTGAGCTACTCTTTGGTTTAGTACCAGCACATGTATGACCCTGAGTATAATCTTTCTGTCTCTCCCACATGCATGCCCAATCACCTGGCCTCTGCACAGGGCCAAAGCATGAGCAGGGAGTGGACAGGCTGTCAAGTGCAAAGACCATGCTGTTAGTAGAATTAAAAAATCTGTTTCTTTTGTCTTTGGGCTGGGCTCCTCCCAGCATTTCCTTTTAGGTTCCAAAGGCCTGGGGAGTGCTTGGTTGATTTGCAATGTAAATCTTAACCTGCATTACCAAATTCCCTTTTTTGTGTTGCTTGAGCTTTGTAAATGCACTCAGTTTTGCATACAGGGTAGAAAAGATCCTGTCCTGAGGCCAGGGGACTAAGTCAGATGCAGTGTGTGCAAAGCAATCCTCAGATGGCATTGAAGTCAGTGGGAACTGGAAGGCATTTGTTTTCTTCCAGGATTTCACTTTGGAAGTGTATAGACCTCTCCAGAATGAAGGCCCAATTGTGCTTGCCAGTCAGGGAGTTCTGTTTTTGGCTTAGATGGGAATGAGGTTGGATTTTTATATTTCGGTGGTGCTGTTTCAGGGCAGGTTTCAAGTTCCCTGTGCATGGTTCCCTGTTGAAGCTGATGAGAGCTCCCCATTTAATTGATAGCAGCCCCATACTGTCTCTTTTTTCCATTTTTTTTTTTCCTTTTGAGTCAGGTTTTTTTGTTTGTTTTGTTTTTTGGGTTTTTTAACATTTTCCCTTTTCCAACTCTATTTACATCATTCTGCAAAGGGACTGAGAAGGGACATGTATTGAATCCACTCACTTGCAGGTTGTGCTCCTTATCAGGAGGAGCTATTGATTCAGAGATCACAGCTTGGCAGCAAAATGAAACAAAAAGCCCATCCTTACCTCGCCTGTAGGCTTTGTTCAGAGATGGTCTGCGTTATTCACAAAATCAGACCACAAAGAATCCTTTTCTGCAGGTCACTGATACAAGAGAAAAACAAGGCAATGGGCAGTTTAAGGTCTGATGTTTCTGCAGTGCTGGCACCAATAATGTGCAGCAGTTGCACTGAATGTTGGGAATGCTCAGAGTTTCTGAAAATTCGGCTTTGACAACTATTAATCTTTTGTGGCATGTGAGCTGGGGATGATTTCCTCACTTTTGTCAGAAGACGCCAGCTGCTTTTTCTTTTTTCTTTTTTAAACGTGAGCTGAATCTGGGGATGTATGGATGATTACATCTATGGTTTATTTAGTACACAAGGTGCAAGTGTACCCTGACTTCTGAGTTGAGTACAAAACACAAAAAATCTGATCACCTTCCACTGCAGTGGGTGCTAGTGGCAGAGGTTTTGGGCTCAGCTCCCCTTAGAGCATAGGACTTATCACCTCATTGATTTCTCCTGCATGTACCTATTTTTTTAAAAAGAAGAATTAAGTGTTATTTGTCTCTGTTTCTGTTTTCTTTTTATAGCTGAGGGTCTTCAAGTTGGCAAAATCCTGGCCCACGTTGAACATGCTGATAAAAATTATTGGAAACTCAGTGGGTGCCTTGGGGAACTTGACCTTGGTGCTAGCCATCATTGTTTTCATCTTTGCTGTGGTGGGCATGCAACTTTTTGGCAAGAGCTACAAGGAGTGTGTCTGTAAGATCAGCCCAGACTGTGAGCTGCCCCGCTGGCACATGCACGATTTCTTCCACTCCTTCCTAATCGTCTTCCGTGTGTTGTGTGGGGAGTGGATCGAGACTATGTGGGATTGTATGGAAGTGGCAGGACAGGCCATGTGCTTGATTGTCTTCATGATGGTCATGGTCATCGGGAATTTAGTGGTCAGTAAACGTTTTACTGATTGTCTTTATTGGTTGCTCCTGGGTGGGGAGGCAGGGGTGAAAGCCCAGGACCAGGAATGGTTGCTTATAGGATCTCTTCCAGGCCTTACCAATAGGTGCCCCATGGCATTTGGGCCCTGTGTGAATAAATCCCATTGACTTTGTGCTGTCAAAGTGAAGCATGTACTTAAATATATTGCTGGATTGAGGCCTTATTGACTGTGCATCATGAAAGCATCCAGGCACTATACAGTAAAGAGCTAGAGGTACAAATTTGTCAAAGGGGGCTGACTCTCACATGGCCTGATAGGATAAAAGATTCCAGCAGGAACCAAATTAATCCTCAAATCTGTACAAAATGAGAGAGGAGGAAACAAAGAAATGGCCCTTAAAGCCTTTAAGCCAAGGCTGGTAATTCCTTTCCAGCAACTGCTCTGTAGTTCAGTCTCAAGCTTCTAGGAACTGAAGGGTGAAATTGCATGGTTTTCTGTGCAGAAGGTCAAACTAGAGGATCACAATCATCCCTTCTGGCCTTGAAGGCTCTGAGCCATCTAAGCTCAAAGATCTAGAAGAAACCAATGGGCTCAGTAATCATGTGCTGCAAGCAGCCTTAACGGCCTGCCGTGGCAAGAC